AAAAGTATTATTATATAGGGTAGTAATCTTTCCTCATATTCATTATTTTAAAATTTATTTTCAAGTATATTTACCTAGTAAAAAATATTTTTAGCATTTTTCTTTCAATGTTTCTGGCTGTGCAAAGAAGACATACTTTTTAATTAAATTTGATATATCTGATTAAAGTGGATATTCTGTGACATTAATTGTTTATGATTACTCAAAAAATATTTTTATTTTCTAATTGCTTCTTTCTCTGTTTTTAATCTAATTTCCTATCTTCTGAGTCCATTTTTGATACTATACTTCTTTTATAGGTCACATTAAAATTTTTAATGTATACATTTTAAGCAATTTAATCTTAATATATATAAAATATTTTAAATCTCAAAATTTTCATTTCTGAATATGCTTTTTAGTACTTGATAAGTTTTATAAGTTTTAATCTTTGTTTATACAATATGACTGCTTTCTCACTTTTTAACCTGAGACCTTCCTTAAATGCCTTTCTCTTTTTCTTTTATTTTTTTATTTTTGTGTAGAAGAACTGGGGTGCCCGCTAGAGGTGTCCAGAGGGGTGGGTAGGAGGATGACAAGATTCACCAGAGACAGAGTGGGGAGCAGAACAGGCAGGTTTATCAAAATACACTGCTAAGGATGGTAGCAGCAAGACAGCAGAGATCTACTGTACCATGTAGATTAGCTCCCTGACTCAGGATGGAACTCAGGCCATAGTGGTGACTGTGCTGAAATTTAAGCCCTATGTCACCAGGGAAACCTAGTAAGTTCTTTTTCTTTCATTATAAAAATGATTATTTAAAATTCTTTTTGTGGAATTTCCTTGTGGTGAACTTCTTCAGCATCTGTCCTGCGATGCATTTTGCTTCACTTTGGAAAAATATCCACTAGATAAATACTAGGAATTTGACAACTGCTTTACTTCTGAACTGGGACAAGTATGTCCCATTGTCTATGGCTGTTTTCTGTTTTGAGGAAAAGTCAGTTTGCTGTCTAATTGTCTATATTTTAGGAGACTTCCTTCCATCTCTATTCTTTTGGAAAATTGTCAGCTATTTCAATGTTGTCTTTTCTAGTTATTGCTGATTTTCTCTTTTGAAGCTTTAGACAGACATATGTTCAGTCTCCTCCATTTCTTCTTCTATTGTTACTTTTTTAATTTCCATTTTTTTCTGTGCTATATTCTTCGTTCTTTATTTGTACTTATTTTCCATTACACTAATTTTATGTTCACTTGTGTCTAACACATGATTTAACAAGTTTGAAATTTCAATGATACTACTTTCATTTTTAAGCATTTTTTAAAATCATACTCACCTTTGTTAACATAATCAGCTTGCTTTCTCACACTTCCACCCCAGTGTTTATTTTCAAACAACTCATATTTTGAATTGATTTTATGCTTACTAATGTTATCTCTTTTCTGGAATTTTTAGACATCCAATCTACTCTTTGTGGTTTCTCCTATTTCTTGCTTCTATCCTCCAGTATATGTGACTAGAATAGGAGCTCATGTTTGGTAGTATCCTGTGTGCTCAACACCAAGTGAAAGAGTTTAGCATAATACTATGATGACTCACTGGTCCTGCCAACCTGTGGTGACATTAACTTATTACATGGACCATCCAACTAGTAAAGTAATGGAAGAAACCTGGACTCCCAAATTTCCTGAGGGCAGGAATGTAGATATGAGTTTTCAGGGAATTAAATTTGTAAGTAAGGAGCTACCTGGAAGATTTGTGCTTGTTGACCTTTGCTTTGGGCTTGTAGCCTTTCTAGACCTCCAGTTTTTGTTTTTGTTTAGCCACATATGCCCTTTCATAGACTTAAGAGTTTGTCTGCTACTCCTTTATGGCTACTTTAAAGACACTGGAAATTAGGGAGTTTCACAGATCATCCATGCTGTAAGCATCTGATCTAAGTGTAAGTTTAAAAAGTCTGTTATTTTCCTGTCAGTAAATAGAAAATACTAATCCAGTATTTACTTTGTCATGACAGAAAAAAATAAAATAGATATGATTAATTATTTCACAGGTAAACAGAAATAGCTACCTTAAAATTTTAGCTTTCAAATTAATTACACATACACATCAAAGTTTATACTTTTAACTTGCTAGGGAATACTTAAATCCAGTGCCATTATTTATTGTGTCCAGTCTGTTAAGGAACATAGATAACACAATAAAAAGAAATTACAGTTCGCACAGGGAAATTATATGGAAATCACCATTCATTCCGGTCAGCATCACAGTTGCAGTAATATTGAGAATCAATGCAGTTCCCTTCTAATCCACAAGTACATTTTTGAGCATCAGGCAGAGAGCCTCCCCAGTAAGTGTGTGTTTCATTGGTTCTTCCAACCCACCAGCTCACTGGGGTTCCATCTGAAAGACAAGTATGAAAAAGGTGATACCTAATTTACTCCTCACTACCTGTCTCCCCAATATAGTGTCTTTCCCTCTATTTAAAACAGAGAGGCAACTGAGAAGTGAACATATTTTAATTCTGCAATTGGATTTCTTTATAAAGGACTTCTGGTAATTTAAAAATATATATATTCTAACAGCAAGATTTATGCTTATTAGAAAATGAGCAAGCAGTGCCTGACTATTATCCAGACATGATATTGACATACTTCTCCTGAGAAATACAATTATTTAACTTAGTTGAGAATAACATTCAAAATATAATTGTCATCAAAATAAAAACAAGGGTATTTATTCATTGACTCTAAAATCTGTCTGAGATCCTAAAATCCCACAGAAAGAATTTATTATTATTATGCTAAGTATGACTTTCTTTCACTTTATTCATTAGCTGAAAACACTGTATTTACAATCACATTTTTTAACAGTTGCCTAGAGATGTGTGCTTTTGCTTGTGTTGAATGGGTTGCTCTGTACTGGGAAACTAAAGAAATGGGTCTCGTAAGTCTTCTTCATGCCTCAGGTAAGTCTTAGGGTCAGAATATCTCTGAGCTAACTATTTCTCAGTTCTTAGGCATAATCCCCTGCTCAGGGGACCCCGCACTTAAGGACCAGAGCCAGCAGCTGCTTCAACTCTACAGGACTACATATTTATACTAAAGACCTAGGACTACATATTTATACTAAAGACCTAGAAACACTGCTGAGGCACCTGGGAGATGATGATTAGAAAAGGCGGAGCATGTAGGCAGGTGGAGGACAAACACTCCCTAGTAAACAGAGCAGGAGGGAGAATGGAAGTGACATCAAGTCAATTGGCTCTGAACAGAAGCCTGTCCACTTTACTGTGCTCTTGCAAACCTTCAGTTACCCCCCAATAGGCCCTTTGGAGAATCTGGAACACATCCCAGCTTCTCCCTAATTTATAGCTGCCACTGCTTATTATGGCTCCCTGTTGTCTGCTTCTGCTGACAACCTCTCAGCTTGTAAACACATTGACTGCATTCATTACCACCCACCACAGGCCCAGTGGGTAAAATATGTGCCAAGAAATCCAAATCAATGGTCTTTTTTTATTTTTTTAATGAGTTGAAAATTTCTCTCTGGAGGGTGTGAGTGGAGATTATTTTTGTTTAATAGATATTTTTCAAAATGCCATTTTAAAATGTGATGATTTAGCATTGTTTTGGAGATTGAAGAACAAAAAAATCATACGTAAATACATAATTGTACATCCACATCAGACTTACTCATTTTCTCTGTGAAATACAAGCCAGTTAAGTGTTTTTAAAGGTACAGAAAGGTATATATGGCACCATTTAAAATTTGTTTTAGTATATTATGCTGTTATAATAACAACAATAAGGCAAAATAACTAAGAATAACTCAGAGAAGAATTAGAAGCTGAAATGAAAAAGAATTGAGACAGACAATGATGAGGGTGCACAACTCCACCTGCCCAGTTATTTTGGCCCTTGGTGCAAATTCCTTCTCTCCAGTCACATCTATAATCCTTGATGACTTTCACATTCATGATGAGGTAACCTAGTAGTTTACTAGAAGCTAACACCTACCGTCATAGAATTTCTCTTTGACTACTGACAATCATATCCCCAAACTATTTAACATCTAGAGACTCTACAGATGCCGGAGACTCTTGGCCTCACCTTCTTTCTGTAACATCAAAGCTACAGGAGGTGGGGGGGGTGTGGAGGGGGGATGCAACACTCAAGCTGCTATACTTGCTGATCTACTTACTCGGGATCAATACAGCATCAATACAGCCCTGGTTTACCAGTAAGTTCTAAGAATCTGAACAGTAAAAAGTTATTGAGCTTTAGCTCAACCTTGATGAAATGTCCCAATCTATGCTACACATTTTTTATATGGTTTGATCCACACCTTGGCTTCAGATCATAGCAGTCTGCTGAAAGTTTGGTTGCTTCTACTTTCTCCACACAAAGGTAAATCCATGCTCTGCACACCTGTCTGTGTCTGAGGATTATACAGAGCAAATTAGTGCAACAACTTTAAGGTGTAAAACTATACTATTTGTTTACCCGATCTCTACATTAAGAGTTTCTGGAAACATGCAGGCCAAACCTGAATTTGTCTAAATCAAGTATACACTGAAAATTCCTCAGTAGCAATTTATAAGAAATGTACAGAACTTGAGCAAGTACAGTCAATGAAGTCCCTTATTTGTTTCTTTAGCAAGTTATTTAACAAATGTAAAAATCTTTTCACTTTGCTTCTTTCCCTTAATCCCACTTAAATACTTATTATTATTATTGGTGGTGTTATTGCTGTTATATAGATTTGTAGCAAAGACATGGCGGCTAAGTATGTAAAAATCAACAGGGTACACACTGACCCTCCATGCAGGAATTCATTCTGATCTGGGTGGGGCCCAGGTTCCGGAATAGAATACGATGTTTATTTCCTGATTCTTAGTTATGTTCTGTTAGTGCTGACTGCAACCCTATTCTGCTTTTGCCTTGTCTTCCCTGGTTACACAACACAACTGCATTGCTCCACAGCACTGACTGAATTTCCTAAAGGGAGTTTATTTATGTGGGGAGAGCATACCACTTTAATTCAGGTGTCTAACAGTAATCAACTAATGGTGAGTACTAAACCCTTTAGTATTAACAATAAACTCACTAAATCAGAGAGCTACAAGTAAGTAGCACTTAATTCATGTACTTCTAGATGATATGCAATTAAGTCCTGGTAATGTAAGTGTCTCAACTCTGAAGACTGAAACTTGGAAGAATGAAACAATTTTCCTAGTCCCATAGTGGCCGAGGCACAGACTGGGGCCTGGAGCTCTGTGAATCCTTCCTGGAACACTCTATTTGCTCCATTCTCCTGCTGTCTGATCAGAGGTGAGGAGACCAGTCTCCAGAAAACCAAAGTGTTTCATTGAAGACTGGACATTCTGACAAAAGGAGATATCTTAAAGGAATAAAGCTGAAATCAAAAGCTATTTTTATATAAAAATAAAAAACTTTTATTTAAAAAAAATTAAGACTAGCCTAAATATGAAAAAGAAATTATTGAAAATTGTTATTTTGTGTCCTGAAAGAGCAGTGAGATGCCAACATTGTTGTCTAACTAGTAATTACCCATCACACTGATTGTATGCCTCTATGAGAAAGAATCTCACCAAAATAATCCCCTCTAGCATGGGTTCATGCTGCTGTTAGCAATCCTTTCTAAGGTAAAACAGCATTGAGAGGTCACTGCATTTCATGGCAGATGAGGACAGAGCATCCCGAGGACCTTGTATGTTGACTTGCACTGCTTAGTTGCCCAGCTGAGTATGGACAGACTCTCCAGGTCATTCCCATCTTTGAGCAAAGAGCAACACAGTTTGACCTTGCTCTCTGCTCTAAGGAAAAGCATCTCTGTAATTGCCAGGTTGCAACTTATGAGACACAAGATGTCTCATGCGTCTGTGGTCATTGTGCATCTGTGGGAACTACAGAGCACTGTGCTCGATTACTCTGACTACTCACTGTGGCGAGTTGAAAGCCGTGACTTCTTGCAGTGGAAAGCCAGCTCCTGATGGCAGTGATCCGCACGGTCAGTTATGGCTTGGAGCTGGTCCATGCTGGCATTGTACTTGAAAAACACAGGACGAGGACTTTTGCCATTGGCGCTTTTGACCTTGGCCATGTGGGAGCCATCATGCTGCACTGAGGTCCATGCAGTGTCTTGTGGGCACAAGTGGGATGAGAGGGAGACAGGAGACTGTAACTAGACTGGAATTATCAAAATAAATATGAAAATCAGAAGCATCTTTTATCTGAATTAGGTTTTTATTTTAATAAAAATCTTTGTGATGGGAATCAACATAAGTGGGATTTGTAAAATGTTATTTTTAGGGAGTATATTGAATTTGCATTATCAAGTAATCACTAACTATTTTCGGTGAATTCTGCTTAACAATATAGTTAACATTTTTAAAGGTCTGTGTTATAATCTTCAATTAACACATCTGTCCTACATGCAAAAATTGACTTATGTTTTTTCTTTTCATTACTAAAAGAACAAAACTAAACTTTTTTGTGTATATCATTATCTTTTTAAAGAGTGTATTCCTCACCTGATAATCTTTTCTTCTGATAATAAAGAAATGTGTACAAGACAGTTGTGGGACAAGCAGCTCTTTTAGTCATGCAAAATAATTGGAAATAAATATTTTTGACAGAAATTGACTGGCAGTGTGTCAGCAACCCATTCATAGTGGCTAAACACTAAAAACCACAGTGCCTTGG